GTTGTTTTCACCCACCCTGGGCTCTGGAGGCTTTTCTCGAGCCTCCGGGGGGAGGGGGGGCAAAAACTACTTCCCCTAGGCTCTGGAGGCCCTCCAGAGGACATGGGCCCATTTTCAGTGTTCTGGAACTTCTGGGAGGCCCATTTTTCATTCTCCCAGGCTCCAGAGGCTTTCCTTGAGCCTCTGGGAGGGCGAAAATGGCCTCCCTCAGGGTCCGGAGGCCGGAAACGGACCTGAAATTCCGGGAGGCCCATTTTTCACCCTCTCCGAACCTCTGTGTGGGCCCCTGTACTTTCCTGGCATCCCAAACCGGTCACATGGGGACTCCTGGGAGGGGAGGAGATGGGTGGAAGGGATTGGGCGGGGCCAGCCATGGGTGAGATTTGGGGTTCGCTGAACTGGGCCGATCCTTAGCTAAAGGATCGCCTGAACCCATGCAAACCGTAGCAGCCCATCCCTGAACACAATTGGTTTCTGGTAACGAAGCAGTAAAATGGTAGTGCATGGCATGTTAAGGACAGGTTAAATTAAAATGAGATCAACGTTTAATAAATACTCTATTAATAGCAAATGCAACTTAGAGTTAACTTAGAGTTTGCGATAATTAATACGTATATGTGAATATATACGAATAAACTGAGAATTTTCTTAGGGACTGTTAAAAAATGAGGGGTTAGAAATAGTGGAAATGAATAGATTGGCAATGCTGATTAACGAAAAAGAAGACACAGACTTCTACAAATGATTTGATAAGAAAGACAATGAGAATTAAGATATAAAATGAGATATTTGATTAACTTAAAATGACTTAAGTAACAATTTAAATATACAATATACAAAGATTAAGTGACAAATGAGATAAGAAATGTATTAGAGGTGAGAATTCACCTACAAGTAATATCAATAGACTACTGTGTTGAAAATATGCTTTGATGATCTGATAGGAAAAATCCATTATAAATATCTGCATAGAATTAGTAACCTAGTTTTATACTAGGCAAGG